TGTTTGATAGAGATAGAGTGTGTGTGTGTGTGTGTGTGTGTGTGTGTGTGTGTGAACAGTGCCCTCCATAAAATTGAACACTCTTGGTCAAAATGTGTTATAAGCTATTGAATGAATCCAACAGAAGAAGAAGAAATGTTTTAGCAGACACAGAATCAAGCTCCTCCCAAGGCCATCTCAGTCCCCAGACCTCAACCCCATTGAAAACCTGTGTAGTGAGCTCAAGAGCAGAGGGCAGAGGAGAGGACCCGGGACACTGGCTGATTAGGAGAGACTGTCCGAAGTAGAATGGTCGAAGATCCCTCTTTCTATCATCCCCATTTTGTGAGACATTACAGGAGAACAGGAGGTGCTGTTTGGTTGTCAAAAGGTGATTGTGCAAAGGGAAAACAAAAAGAGTACTCAAATTGTCGCATCAATGATTGGATGAAAAAGATTTATTTTGTAGTGTGAGAAGTTTTATTTCTTCTAAGATTAAACGTAGGGTTTTGGGGGTGTGGGGGGTTAAGCTATTTAGAAAAAGCAATTGGAAGCTAAAGAACACAACCAGAGTAACAATAATTATGGAGGGCGCTGTGTGTGTGTCCATACTCACACACAGACACACACACACACACACACACACACACACTTCTCACTCTGGAAATATGATGTCTCTGTTTTATGGCAAACAGCTCGCTGTTTTCTCAAGAACGAGTTGGCAGCTCTTTTATTCCAGTTCTTTGAAAGAAACACTGAATACGGCAATTGCTTTTAAATGAGTTCTGAGTCTGACCACTTATGGCATCTTAACCTTTAACTGAGGCTTACAAATCCTCAGCCCTTAAAAGCAAAACCAAATGGGTTCGTTCTGAAATGACGCGATGACAAATGACGAAGCAGGGAGTCATTCAATCTCGTCACGAAGCCATCGCTCCTCTCTGACTCAGGATCTGATTGAGAGCCCCGGTTACCTGCAAAAGTAATCAAATCTCAAACTTTTTGGAGGACACGTTTACAACCTGTATTTTTTTGCCTGCTTGCACCTGTTTTTTTTTTTTTTTTTTGCCCTTGTCGTGTAACAAGAGTCAATCATTTCTGAACTAGTCAATTATTGAAGTATCAGTTAGCCTTTAAAAATGTGCTTCCTCTCAAAATTGAGATATTTTCGGCCTCCAAAGTAGCAAAGTGGCCCAATGGTGTGTGCTGATCGAAACTTTATCATTTCTGTTCATTTTCTTGCTCTGCTCCATCACACGCATTCAGCACTCATCATTTGCATCTAAAACAGTTGGATGCTATGGGTAGGCTATTTTGCTCTACTTTTCCCCTTGCATATTGTCATAGGCGTCCCCTTTTACCTCCATCCTCACTCCCTCTTCACCCTCTCTTGCCGTCTCCCCCAACCCCCTCACTGGGCCGCAGACTGAGGAGATGCATAAATTCAAGACACATTAGTATTCCAGTCAGGCTCTCTGTTTTCAAGGCAAGGCTTCGCACCCCCACCCCCCTTTCCCTCTCCAGCTCTATTTTTGAATCATTTAAACAGTGCTGCATGTACTTATGTCACAGCCATCCCTAATTTATTTTCAAGCTTCACTGTTTTTTTTTTTTTTGTTTTTTTTTTAGGAATATAGCTCTATTCCTCTCTTGCGTTGCCAATTATACGGAGCTGTAGTCTTTGAAATGAGATTCATCTGCTTCTGCGTGTGTGTGCGCGCGCCCGGGTCTACGCGTGCTCGTGCGTGTATCAACGCGTGGGTACGCGCGCGCTGTCAGGCCCGCTGGCCCCGGCGATACATCACGCATGTCTGATCAAGGAGGGCACAGGGCTCTGACAATAACATTTCAGAGGAACTGCACGTCTCTCTCTCGCTCCCTCTCTCTCTCTCTATCTCTCTCTCTCTCTCCCTCTCTCCCTCTCTCCCCCCGTTTTTTTTCAGTGATCAGCCTACAACCAAGACTCTATCGAGCCATGCACTTCGATATTTTACAGCTGTTATAAGGACACCAAAACTGGGGTGTTGCGGGTGGGGTGGGGGGGGGGGACAATTGATGCAGTTTGTTCGTATGGATTGGGTTACCTATGAGTCAATAATGTTTGACTGGTTTAATTAGGCTAACGTGAGGTAATAATAATAATAATAATAATAAGGATAATAATAATAATAATAATAAGAATGTTTTGTTGCTCAACTGTAATTATTTTTGGACCGTGAACGATTGTAGCAAGAAATTGTTTATTACAACATACATCGTTTATTTCAAAACATAATACAAGCTTTATACTGAAAATAAATAATTACTTGAGCTGTCATCGAAATTTGGAATAAAACCGCCGAAACAGTTCAATTTTATACTGAAAATATTTTTTTACATTGCTAATTAAGTGCAGGAATAACTAAGAGCATTTGTTTAAATTAATGACTTCAAAAGGGTAAGATATAAAACTGTACAATATTCGAAAAAAAATACTCGTGAAATAAACCAAATAACAGGAGTATTTAAATTTATAAAATTTGGATAGTGAACGTACAATAAAATTATAGGCAGGTGTATAGCGTCAACCCCATTTTTTTCCTATTCACGGCTCTTTTTCAGAGTCTACACAGTTTAAATGGTCGAAGATAATGAAATCAACAAAAAACAAAAAACATTTATAAATAATTGTTTTTGTGAGTGGCCAGATAAACTACAGGCGGCAACGGAGGGCCAAAAATAAGACTTCAAGTGCTATTGTGTTGGTAGTACATACCACTGGACTGAGGATCTATTTGCTTATGCAAAATCAATAACAACAATTACAGATGTTCAACGAGCATGTTACAAAAATAAAGACACGGGAGGATTGTGACCTCGAGTGGACAGTAAAATTACACGTGGTGCCCAAACACTGAAATATCAAATCAGTTCAGAAAATAAGAATCATTGTGTCACTCCACAACAAAAAAAAAAGAGACGGGGAAAAATGAAAACAAAAGCTGTCCCATTTGTTGGATTATGGTGACAAAAAAAAAAAAAAAAACTAAAGGCGCTGGTAGATTATAGGCACATTATTGTATTTATATCCAAACATTTTGACCGGCTCCACGGAGTGCCGTGAAATGATCGAATAATGCCCTCGTGGCGCTTCGAAAGAGGCCAAGGCTGAGCGGGTATCTCCGGTGAGTCTGGATGAGTCTGTACCGGCGGGACCCACACCGCGGGAGTCCGTTTTCGGTCTGATCCCTCCCGGAGCGGTGCAGCGGTCAGAGGTCGTGGCACGAGGACGCGTCCCCCGCGCTGCCACCGTGGGAATAGGGCGCCTCGTGGGGCGGCGGCGGCTCCCCGGGCGGCGTCATGCGCTTCTCTTTCTGCCTCCGGTTGCAGAACCACACTCGGACCACCTCCTTCTCCAGCTGCAGCGTGTCCGCCAACGACGTGATTTCCTGCGCGGAGGGTTTGGGGCACTTGAGAAAGTGCGTCTCCAGGACCCCCTTAACGCTGACCTCGATGGACGTCCTCTTCTTCCTCTTCCTGCCCTGAGCTGCGATCTTGTCTATACTGCTGGAGCTGCCCGTGGACGAGTCTGCCTCTTCCAACCACTTGTTCAGCAGCGGCTTGAGTTTACACATGTTTTTAAAGCTCAACTGGAGAGCCTCGAACCTGCAGATGGTCGTTTGGGAAAAGACGTTGCCGTAGAGAGTACCCAGCGCCAATCCCACGTCGGCCTGCGTGAAGCCCAGCTTGATCCTCCGCTGCTTGAACTGCTTGGCAAAATGCTCCAGTTCGTCCGACGTCGGCGTCTCCTCGTCGGAGTGGTCGTGGCAGTGGTGCCCCCCCAGGTCGCTGTGCTCGGGGCTGAGCGTGTCCCTGAGGCCCGGGTGCATGCCTTGGCCCTGTGGGTTGGGCGGCGGGGTGAGCCCGCCGTGCTCCAGCATGCCGTTGACGGTGAAGCCCGTCTGGGAGTAGATGTTGATCTGCTGCCCGCTGCTGATGGACGAGTTGTGGGACACCGGAGTCCCCCACGCCGCCGGGTGGTTGCCATGGTTGTTGTGGTGCGGGGAGTGATGAGCGACGTGCGGCGAGCGGTGATGGATGATGCCGAGCTGCAGGTCTTCTCTGCCCGGTTTGACGTCCTGCTGCTCCATGGAGGCCGACCACGGGCTGCTATCCGACAGATTGTTCGCCCACTGGTGCCCGAGGGGGTGCCCGTTGCTCTGGACGTTCTGCAGGTAGTCACTGTGCAGGAGTTTCTGGTGTCCTCTGTAGGGGCTCGCAGGCTGCATGGCTTGACTGTCCGGGTGCATCATGGGACTGGAACCGAGCAAGGTGTAGGGGCTTGAGGCAGCTGTGGCCATGCTGGCTGCTGAACCCCACTGGCGATACTAAAGTGAGGTTCAGCTCAGCCTCTGACATTTCCCTCTCTCTGGAGTGTCGGCACCAGTCAGGCGTTGACAAACATGACGGACGGCAAGAACCGCCACTCATAGGCCGAGAAAGTCGTAAACGACGACACCTCTCCACCAATGATGGCGCACCATACACACCACAGACCCCCCCCCCCCCCCCCCCCCCCCCCCCCCAAAACCGCACAGAAGCCACACATCACAGTGACAGAGACACACCTCTTCTCTACCTCTCGGTATCGATCTCCCTTCCAATCTAAATGACCCTGTTAACCATCCCCTTCGCCCTCCCCACCTTTCCTTTTTACCGCTTTGAGCCCTACTTAGCAGCCACACTAACCCCCACACGTACCCATCCTCACCGCCACCTTACTCCTCTAAGTTTAAAATGGCCCGGTGCGAAATAACTCACATCGGTACAAGAGGGATGAGGTCATTAGAAAATGTGACGCCCTCTTGAAACAGCGAGCATGATTGAAAAATCAATTTTGATGTCTTTTTTTTTTCTCCTTCTCTCTCATCTCCTCTCATTTTGTCTCTGTTTGCATTTCTCTTTGTAACGCCACCTCCCTCCTCCTCGGCGTGCAGAACCGCAGAGTGGAAAGTGTTCAGGGCGGTCGAACCGGAAGTGAGTCCGAGCGCTGGTCCACTGAGTCTGTTTGTGGAACAATATGCGCGTGGAGCGCAGTTCCTGTTTATTAATAGAAGTTTCCAACTGCTTTACGCGCGAGTTTAATGCTGCTGCTGTCACCCTTGAGCGCGCGCGAAGGAGATTTAAGCTCCAGTGGCATTTGTCAGACGTGCCAACACTTAATTTAGAAGGATGCAATCAAAGCTGCTCCTGTTCTAGTTGACAATCATCAACTTTCAGTAAACATTTCCTCAGGACTTTTCTATAAGGGGGCAAGTCCCTAGACCTGGCACTTTCGGGCACGGACCATTCCACATGCACCGATTATAGAGGAGTGTCGTGCAACTGCATTCAAAAAAAAAATTAAATCAGTCAAAAAATAAAATAAAATAATGGCCCCCAAAACGCCCACGTCCATTGCTACCACAGTGGGAGGAATCGATCCTCACGCAAAGCGCACGATTACGCGTGATGTGATGCAATTACTACATTTATTCTCGCATCACATCATTCTCGTTAGAACTCAGCAAGATATTTCTGCTCAAAGCTAACTTAGCTGCTCACTCTAATTTCCATTTGAAAAATGTGTGCCAGCATCCTTATTGCTTTGCAATTCCATTAAATATATTGACGGGGCTCCCAGGTTAAGCTTGATTTAAATTTGCATACATTTTCATACATTGAGGAGAAATAAAAAGAAGGCTGGAGCCAGCAGAAAGTCATTAAAGAGCACCGAGCCGCGGAGGAGACAAGCAGGAGGCCGGAGCAGGTGAGCGAACGGCGGGCAGGATGTGTGGACAGGATCGCTGGACATCGACCGGCCTCGGTGACCGGAGACTCGCCTGCACGAGGGACTGATCATGACCGAGTGACCTCTGCTCGAAGGCGCCGAGTAAGATGCGTTATAATTCAACTGGAATAAGGAGAATACTACTCATCCTGCGCATTTTATTTTATTTTAATGTTTACGAATAGTTTTATGTTGGTTTGTTTGTATGTTTTAGTTGTTTGGTCGAACAACTAAGAAATTGAGTCCTTTTTTTTCTAAGAAATATTAAGTTTAGCTTACCTCACGCTATTTAATAAAATTTACAATTACGAATGTGAATTTCAAAAACGTGTCGACCCACAATTATCCGATAATAAATGTACACATATATATATATATATATATATATATATATACATTTGTTGCGCACGCGCGTCACTTCGGTATTTATTACAAAGCAAAAAAAAAAAAAAAGTATTTCAATGTTTGTTTTAGACATCAAAGTGTTTTATAAATCGTATAGCACCTGCCTTCCCGATTTTAAAGTACGCATTTGGTGAGTTTAAAGTGGACGAGAGTGCTGCTTCGAGAGGGAGGCTGTATTGCTCTCGATAGTCTAGTTTCTAAGTGTAACAGATGCTTCTCTAGAAACGCTCCGCGTGCTGATTCCTTTTATTCACATCAACATTTTTCTGCCGTCGAGCTCGTTTCCATAGTGAGGCGAATAAAAGGCAAATCCCCGCTCCGCGCCTCCAATAAAGAGCCCATTCACAGATAACCCGAGACAGCCCTGCTACTGACTGCCTCTCTCTTACCAAGGTGCACATTACTGCTCAATAAGACAAGCTAATGACTCATAATTTCTCTCATTTTGTCTTTGGGATTTAATAGTTTGTTTAGAGTTTGCTGTTTGTTTGTTTTGCGGTTTTAAGCGACGTTTGCGTATTTTATACCGCGGCAATGAATTCTTGAATAAAACAAATATATTCACGCGGTACTGAAACAATCCCGACTCTCCAAACGAATGACACTTTGGATATTTATGTTTTCCAAACTTAACTACGTGTGCTGTGTAAGTTTTAAAATTGGAGTGCAGTTTATGTTGATTGAAATTACCACGTTGTTGATTTTTTTCCCATGTAATTTTCCACACAAGCTTTCTTAGTTGAAGTACATTCTTTGTCACAAAGTGTCATGACTCCTGTAAGAATACAATAACAACACGATTGGTGATGTTGTGTGCGCGGAATTATTAAAAATGTATCAAAGTTCTAAATTGTTATGGTGGTCTGCAGTCAGGGATTGTTTTATTTATCTTTTTTTTGGTGCAATATAGTCACTACTACAAGATTAATAAGGTTTAGACTGCTATTGAGAAAGCTCTGGGCCTCAGGGTGCGCCCTGTCACGGAGTGTCACGACCTCTGCAAACTTTCCCCACGCAGCGTTGACCCCCTCGATTCTTTGAGTCAAAGCCATGTGTTAATGCGTTAAACGAGATTTTTTTTTTTTTTTTTTGGTCAACCCACATGAACCAGTTTATCCCATCTCCCAGCTCTGAACTAAATTAAAAGATTGTATCTGCTAATTATGTGAATTATTATTGTTTTATGTTAATGAACACAGGAAGGCAATAATAAAATATACGTATACAGCACAAATCTGTGTGTGTTTCAGTAAAGTGGCACTGTCTAATAATACATTGAAAAATAACACTTTACATGCACATACACACGCAAGCACACGCACACACACGCACACACGTCGTTGTCTCCCATCAGCGCGTGACGTCGAGCACAGTGGCGTCGTGTTAAAACAGTATCTCACCATGACGCTGCTGACACAATGTTTGTTTTCAACACGAAACCTAAATATTTATTTATTTTTTCCCATTTTCTTCTTGATTTGGAAAATTGAAGTGCATGTTTGAGGTTGAAATTTCGCTTGTGTTTGGTCTGCTCATGTCTGCATGACGGTTTTCCACAGATTTATTTATTTATTTATTTTTATTCCTCCAAAAGCAAATTTTAAAATTGGAGCTATGCATAGCAATGGTGCATTCAATGATTTAAATTCAGACATTTCATTTTTAGATTAAGTCAGTCTTGTATTAAAAAAAGTGATTACTGCGGCATTCAACATGCATATTAATGAAAATGCTGTCAAAGGTGCACCAGAGCTGTATCTTTAATTCCCCGATATGGTAACATTCTCACACCAAGACTCAGTCAGTGTTAATTCCAAATGTCTGGTTATTGGCTGTTCCATTCTGTTGTTACACATTTAAAAGATTAAACATGAAAACGAATGTGACGTTTGGGATTGTGGATCTTGGAAAGATTCAAATTAATTTGACGGATGCAGGTGTAAACAATGTGACACTTTGTGGTATTGTTGTGACAGTAAATGCAACTAATCATTAGATAATGTTGTTTGGAATAATTGAAGTTCTCACAAAATTTAATTATATATTTTTTTTGCAAAGAAGTGCAAAGAAGAGCTTCAAAGAGAGCATCAAGGCCTTCAACCTGCATGTGTATTCGCATTAGTATTCCAATATGATGCAAAGTCAAGCATAAAATTATTTGACTTTGTGGTTAATTAGAAATTGAATTGAGTGAAAACAATAGACAAGCCCCAGGTCAGGGACACTTTTTTTTTAACTATTTTTGCTGAAACTGTCTTTCCTCTGCTTAGAAAAGAGTTTGTCACACTATCATTTTTTTATTATCTGTGAGGATTTGAAATATAAAATTAAATTGAAATGGTTCTTCTCGCTTCCCTTCAAAGTCAATGTTTGTCAAAGCGATTACTTTGTACGTGTGTGTGTGTGTATGTGTGTGTGTGTGTGTGTTGGTTCCAGGTGCTGTTTGCAAAATGGCTCTATATCGTAACTATGTGAGTGAAGGAGCCTCTGTTGGTTAAAATCTACATAACATTACCATCTGTTAAACTTCAGATCACTTCAGTCACACACAGAGCAATGAAGAAGAGTAGAGAGTCTATAAAATCATATAACGTATGCTCTTCAGACGCTCTCCAACTCCTCTTTCCATATATCCGATACTCCTCCTCTTCTTCGTCTGCAATGAGAGCTGAAAAGAGCACCGGCCTAGGCTGGGAGCAATGAGGAAGTGCAGCGAGTATATTTGATGACGAAAGCTTGTAAGAAAGTGCCCTGAAAAATCCAAAACAACATTTGAAACACAGAATTGGTCAACTTTATTCAGTAACAAAACACCAAGCAAACCAGGTAGTTGACTGCGTAAACAACTAATACTCATTGGTACCTACTTCTTTAACCCCCACCCCCCTACCCCCCACCCCACCCAACAAATCAACCCCCCTCCTCAAATGCACACACACACAGGTCCCTCTGAAGGAGCAGGCGGAGCCGACAGTTGCACATCTGCATTTCAAACACAGACTCTCTGGGATTCATTATTAATTAGCCCACTGAGCCCTGGAGGGCTGAAGATACTAACACACACACACACACACACACACACACACACACACACACACACACACACACACACACACACACACACACACACACACACGCAGGCACACACACAAGTGTTGCATTGCACCATCCAATCATCTAATCTCTTCTTGATGCCTGAGCTAGTGAATGATAAAGGATGATGAATTACTGGACTAGATGGGCACACTGTATAGCTGAGTGCATACTTGCTATATTGC